CATTCCCAATGCAGCACGCGCTGGCTGATGTCGGGGCAGCATGAGTACGAGCATTTTTTTTGTTTGTTTGTTTTTTTGCTGATGCCCGTGATGCCGCCCCGGGCAACCGCCCGTGTCGCCCGTATCAAAAACCGCTACTGCCTGTACTTTCCACTCCTAACAATAATAAACGGGCTTGTTACTTCTGCTTTAACCACTTTGTCCGGATTTATTATCTGACGTCACTAAGCCTTCAAACATTCTTTCATTAATCTTTATTTAACCAGCAAAAAAATCTCCATTGAGATTAGAAAACGTCTTTTACACGGATGTCCTGGCCACGATGAGAAGCAGCAAAGTGCAAAACAATGTACAAGTGCAAGAAAAACATCCAAGTGATTTGAGCCTAAGCAGTGAGGCGTGTCTGTGTAATAATCACCAGGAGATGTGGCATAAGACAGATACCATGTCAGGGATAAAAGTGGCCCCACTTTTTTCCCACAACACCAGAATGACTGCAGGTGCCATCAGATCTTGATCTTGATTGATTATATCAAGTGAAGCAGACATTCATATAAATTTACCTGATGATGCTGAGATTCATCGACTGAATTCCACCTTCATACCAACTATGCAGACATAAGAAAATCCATTAGACCAAAGTCTGTATTCCCATTTTCTAATATTTTATTATTACATTAAATAGCACAAGGTTCAGCTAGCTTTGAACACAAACAGCTGGCAGAAACATCCTCCAAAGAGCTAGGTTTGACTTTCTTACTTTGAGCACATTTCAGAGCCTGTGCTTGTTGACTTTTACTCGAGTAAATAAGTTGAACCACTGCTTTAGCTTTTACTGGAGTGTGTTTTTTAACACTAGTACAGTCCACTTGAAAAATGGAAATAAATAAATAAATCATGTTTTGCATAGTTGGATCTTAATGAGGTTCCAAGTAGAGCTTCAACATGCAACAAGAAGAAATGGGAGTGAGACAAAACATATTTTGAGAAATTTATCGAAAACAACGCTTAAACTGAAACCGGCTGTTTTACAGCTGATCAAAGTGTAGCCTCGCTCTCGGCTACGTAACTAGGTTAATTGTGAATCCACCTGCATATTGATTGTTTTATACCGTTTAGGACGACTATAGAAATTTACTAAAATACTTGAAGGAAACGGCTTCCAGGGCCTAATCCGTGGATCGGCTTCCT